CAATTTTTTTTTTTTTTTTGGGGGTGGTTTTTTTTTTTTTTTTTCCAGATAGAGAACTTATCCTTATAATAGTGGGTACAGTGTTTGGAGCCATTATCCTGATGTTAGTGATAGCAGTCTCTGTTGTTTCAGTAAGGTAAGAGTATTTCTTAAAATTGAATAGAAGCTGCATTGCTGCATGTTTGTATAGAACTAAGCAGAGATTTAGAGAGGGGCAATGCTGCAAATGTGGTTGCATGCTTAGTTGGGCAGACAAGTTCATTTAAGTCATCGTGACTAGAATTTGGTTTTGCCTGTGTGCTCTTCCCAGAAGTATTTACTCTCTTGCTGTGAATTCAACTATGAAAGCTTCAGACAAGTCTTCACAATACAGGCCTCACCCATTAATCCTAATCCTGCCCTAGCCACTACTGATATGGCATCTGGATGAGATTGAAGAAGGATGCTGATATCAGAAAACTGTGTGGCCCAAATTCAGACCCTCTGCAGCTTTCCCTGCAAGCACTTCAGCTCAAGGTCTGGCATGCCCCTTTCAGCTCAATACAGGTGGCATTTCCAGCCAAGCATCTCTTCAGAGCTTGCTATTCCTGATGTACTGGCAAATTCCCAATTGCAGGTGCACCTCCTCACTTCTCTCCACACAATACATAAAGAAATACTCAAGCAGCTCCTCTGCTTTGCTCTCAGCACTGCCCAGGTGAAGATACTACAAGACCGCCTATAGCAGGCATAGCTCGCCACCAGATGCACAAGCTGGTGCCAAGTGTGTGTGTGATGGATGGACTTGTGATCACAGACAATTCAAATGCGTCATTTGAGTGTCCAGCTTTGGCTGCAGGCACGAGAGCAACTTTTCTTGAAGCATTCCTAATGAATGCCTCATTTCTTCCTCTGAATAGTCGGTTAGAGCTACTGGTGGTTAAGGAAACTCCTTCATTCTAGGAACTGGTTGAAAGAGGCCAAAGTCCCCTTCTGTCTCTCATAGCAGCTTAGCCCCATCTGTGATAAGAGATGACAAACTTTGTACTCTATCATTGATAACAAGGGGTTTGCAATAGGTGTGCTAGAAAAATCTGTTGCATGTTTCAGAACAGGGCTGAGCATTCAAAATAAGGTGGGAGTGGACAACTCAGTAGGCTGGACTTGCTCAACAAGTAAGGCACACTAAAAGGTCTTCTAAAACCTCCTTTGTTCTTTCATTTCCTCTGAAGAGCCAAACACAAACAAGATCCAGAGAAGATGAACCTGATAAAGTCAGGATATTCCAACCCAAATACCTCTGATGATAGACAGACCATGATGTTCCCCAGAGTCCAGACCACTTCTGGCCATGCAAACCCAGGATATCAGCCAAACAACCCATATGAGATGCCTTCTGCAAATAGAGGTCATTTTCCGGAGAGGGATTACGATGACTTGGTGAGTGTTTCACAAAGGGAACTGTGCACCTGAACTGCAGCATTGTGGGCTACAGACATTATTGGAACCTAAACTCCACTCTGCCCATCCTCCCTTGATCTAGAAGGCCAAAGTGGTACAAAGGCAACCAAACAACTGTAGATGCAGCTGAACAAATTTCCCGTAATACAGAGATCAGCACTCATCTTATGAAGCCCTTTCTAAAGCCCCAGTAGTCATCCTTGGGTCACAGAAAGCAAGGGTCAAACCAACAGTTTGGCTGCCCAGTGGTCTGCTGTGTTGTAGGACATTTGTCTGCGTTGACCGAACACACCCCTGAGCACAGGCAGGCACGCAACCATCGCAGGCTGTGACAACCTGGGCTTCTTTTAAGGCCATAGGTGCTGCAGTGGCACTTCCCAGTTGCAGCCTCATGCAAGACTCACGGTCAGCTCAAGCTGGCACAGCTGCCCAGAGGGTCAGTGTCCTCCCACCCACTCTGCCACTGCCTAGTTCACAGCAAGAGCCTCTGCGGTGGCTGCAGCATTGCAAAGGGGTAAAGTGCCACGAAAAAGCTAGTGCAGCCTTTACATTGCTCTAGCCCAGGGGAGCCTGCTCAGCAGAGGCGTGTCATTAGCTGGAAGGCGTGTTCTGAAAAAAGCTGCCTGTCTCATCCTTGGACTCTGCGAGGGAGCTGCAGAGGGAGCAGGGGCTTGAGAAGGGCTGTGCGGTGATATGATTGATTTGCTGGGTTCTGCATGCATTGAGTAAATAGGAAACACATTCAAATGTGGTTTAAATGACATTTTAGCTCCACCTCTGCGGTGCAAGAAACTAGCATGTTCAGTGCAGAAAATCTGTTTAACTGTAATACATTTACATGTTTTGCAGAATTGAGGTCTAAACCAAAAAACATGGAAATCTGCTGTTAAAAAAAAAAAAAAAAGTGATTTAAAAATCTGCAATTTAAGAGAAGAAAAACATCTGTGTACTTAGTACCTTGGTCAGATTCACATGGATTTTGGTATTTCTAACTTTCCAAAGATGTCAACTTTTCACCGATGAAAATCCGCCTGTTTGGTTTTCTGTGAGGGCTGGTGTGTCACAGAGAGGGCTGTCGTGTGCAGTGTGCTACACACTGAATTATTCTGAGAAAGGAGTTTTCTGACCCAGAGCTACTCTTTATTTCTTTTCTTTCCTTGTCCAAATTCTCTGTAGTATGAAATATCAAAGGAGCCTGAGGGCTTTAGGAGGCAGAACAGACACTAAGCGACCAGAGTGGCAGAAGGATGGATGACCACCATGACAATGAGTCAGACCAAAGAGTTGCACAGCCTCTCACCAATGCAGTTACTTCAGCAGAAGAGACTACAAAGTCTGTAACCCCACTTTCTCTGAAGATCTTTTAAAGGAAGACCCCTGCTTGAAAAAGATCATGGACAACTCTCTGAAACAAGGGAAAAATGAAGCAGAGGGTTGGGAGAAGAGGAGGACTTTTAAAAGAGCTGATGGGCTCCCACAAACATTTGGCTTCTTTCAGGCCAGTACATTGGCAAGTGAGTGAGTGTAGATGAGATACCAGGATTTTAACCGTGCTGTCCTGGCAATATGTGTGATGCTGAAAAGTGTCAGCACCCAGAGCTTTGCTTGTGTTTGTGCTCACTCCATTTCAGCTACAGGCAGCCTGCATGGCTTTGGGCTGATCAGTGCTGTTCTTCATGAGAACTTAACCTGTTTCTCTTTGATATATCAGATACACCTTTTTTTCCCCTCCTCAACCCCCCAATATTTCTTATCCGAAAGCATTCTGTCCAGATCTCTGCTGACATGTGTTGTGTGAGACAATGGTACTTGTCTGACCTTTTATGCAGCCTTCCTTCCCGATACAATGGCAAGAAACAATATCTTCAAACAAACACTGTTGTTCTCCACCTTGCACAACTACATTGTTTGTACATTCTCAGCTCCTGTGGAAAGCTTTAGCATTTTTGTTTACTTGCACTCTTTATGTTCTGATTGAATGACCTTAAGGGTTGGGTTTTTTTCATTTCTTATACCGACTTAATAAACATGTCTGTAAAAGAATCTACATTTTACTGTACTTTACTGACTCTGCATTATCTACTGACTAGCATTAACATTTCCTTATATATATAAAATATACATATGCACAAATATGTACATATATTTATAGGTAACGTTCATTTAAAGCATCATTTAATGCCATGTTGTATTTTGTGTTTTGTTTTTTATATATGCAGATTAACTTTTCCTCATAAACATTCTCGTTTCTCAGTACCAAAGCTTTCTTGTGTTGCTGCCCAATGGTAGGGTTTTTTTTTTCACAACTCCAGAGATCATTTTATGTTAAAACTTGTGCAGAGTTTAGACGCAAGTATGCACAGATTGGTTGCATCAGCACTCAGCTTTCACTCTGAAAAGTGTGAAACTTTCACTCACTTTCACTTCAGAGGTTCTGAACAGAAATATTATTAAACCTTAATGAAGGTAAAATGTTTATTGTTGTAAGGCTTTCACCCATTTTCTGTGATCACTTTTGGTAAGAAGTGGGTAGGTAGTGCAGCTGGGTCTGCTTTGAAAATGCTGGATGAGCTGCTGTCTGTGATGGCAACTTTGTGCACATGGGTCTGCTAATGTCACACAGCTAAAAAAAGAAGTGTCTTTTAGCTTAAAGGATGAGTTTGGGGGCCAGTGGTAGAGAACACTGTATGTGGCTGTAGAGGTTACAAGGATGTGCATGCAGACGGGTTGTTCCAGCGCTCTTGGTGATCAAAACCAGCTCCCACTCACCAGTTATGTGGTTGAAACCTGGAAACCAAGCAGTTCTGATCTTTCTCCTGTGTCTTCTCTAGCCAAAGAAGATAGACAGACCCTGCTTTCTCTGAACTGCCTGCAATGAGCAGCAGTTCAGAAGGAGCCTGGTGAGAAAAGGTGCAACTTTCTCTCTGTTGTTTTCCTGGGTTTTCACTGTCTCTTTCTTCCAGTTGACTCCTGTCCCCTTTGCTGCTGTCACCTGGTTGCACAGCGCCTGCCATTGGCAGGTCCCTGTAGGAGGGAGGTTCTGGTGGCCTTAGACACCCTCCACTGGCTGTGTGCATCTCAACATGCACAAGGTGACCTTTACTCCATGCGAGCATGGCTAGCTCGATTTTACTGTTTATGATACCTTATTCAAAGGACGGTAGAGATTTGGTCTTATTTTCTTGGCTTTTCCTCTGAGAGTACTCACCTGGGAGGAGCAAAGCAAGGCTTGGTGGCTACCCTTAGCAGAAGAAGTAGAGAGGCCCCATCCTTCCTGAAGCTAGAAAAGCCCTACAAGGGGGACCAGCTCCCTTCCCTAACAGTTTCGTTAATGTATGTTCCATGCCTGCTGCCTATGTCTTTTTATTTGAGCCCTGTGTGTCCCCACCACTCCCTGGGCGAAGGAGATGCTCCCTGCTTCCAATTCCTCTGCTAAGCCCTTTCCTTTTCCTGTTTTTCCTGATTTCTCAGCAGCAGAAAAGATTCTGCTGCCAGCAGAACACGATGGGGAGTTTGCACAGTGTGAGACACTGAAAAATGGGAGGGATACAGGCAGGACAAATGGCAAAAAGTCATGAAGCACAGTGTAGACTTCTACTTCGTTAGCCGGATGCTTTTGCTTGGATAAACTCTTCTCCCCTTCTTTGAAATTTGGGGTTACATGGAGTCTAATAGATTTCTCTATATCGAGAGTAACAGCCCGTGCACCACCTTCTTTCATTGAGGCAAACTGCCTGGTTCCATCAGCTTAGTGCACAGGATTCTTGAAATGTCTGTAATAGTAGCCTGCTAGAGAGGCACATGAAAAGGCTTTTAAGTGTTATCTCTTATTCTTTCTCAAAGCAATAGGGGTTGGAAATGCAGCTGAAAGCTCAATGATAAACGAAACTTTAATGCAGTAAAACTTTATTGAGGGTGTGTTATCTAGAAATTTGCTGTCATTGGTGATAAAAGCAGCAAAAATAGGCAGGTGTTTGCATCATTTAACTGCAGAAGAATTTTCATCGCTCTAGTTCAAAGCTAATTTCTGCAGCTGCAACCCGTTCTCATTTAGCCTGTGCTGGGGAGGGGCTATCAGACGCTCTGTAAGCCTACTACTCTTCAGCATTTCAAAGGCTGCTACAGCTATTTTATCCGGACGGGAATTCTGTACTGAAAGGCCAGACTCTTAGATATTTCACTCCTCTTTGGCTATTAGCAACATGTGATTCTGTTGGGAAATACGATAATGGAAAATAGCACTTTGTGGTGTTTTGTGACTGCTGCCTCTTGGCTCATGCGTTGTTTCAGCTTCCCATCCTTCGAAATCCAACCGGGCATGGGAAAGGGAGCTGACCGCGACCCTTGCCCATCGGTGTGAGAGAGGACATGCCCGCAGGCAGGGTGAGAGGCTTCAGGGAACTGCCACAACTCGTTTCGCATCCTGGGATCTCCCATCCATCTGCTCCCCTGAGTACAGGGTGTCCTGCTGGCACATAACCTGCAGAGGACGTGGGACGATGGTGCCACTCAAATCTGCCACCTACTTTTGTCCTGACCATAAAATTACACCAGAGGGATTGCCTGGCACATCTGCACAGGGTGTATGAAAAATGCCAAACGGGCTGGGGACAGAGGTTTGCATGGTTATAACATACTTGTATGGGGGTACTAAGGTCACTTGAGTCACATGCCATTCTTCCTTTATCTGAATACACCTGAGCATATTCAAGTGATGCGGGGTGGTAGGGAGAGGGGTGTGATGCTGTGGATGGCTGTGGGGTAAGAGCCTGGGTCTGGGCAGCTGCCTTAGAGGAGCTGGCACACAGTGCCTTGATGGGACAGTGGGGTAAGGATGGGCTTAGTCAGGCCTGACAGATCTTGTGCTGTTCACGCTGCTTATGCCTGAAACCAGCCTCGAAAATGAGACATAAACCCCTGCATCCACACAGTCCCCAGGAAAGCCCAGCATCCAAACTTCTGTGTGAAAGGCAGCACCTTTCAAGCCTGAAAGCAGGAAGTATTTTGCATTTCTCTGGTTACCTGCTGGTGAAAACCACTCCTTGTTTCCTTTACCAGACTGGTTTTGCATAGATCCTGCATGTGATGTGCCAGGCTGGAGGCATAAACAAGTAAGAGTGAGCAAAGCAGGTAAGACACCACTGCAGACCGCAGGGCTTGACCTTTTCACTCCTCGTGTACTTCTGTTGACTTTGATGGCTTGTTGTTTTCAAGGTGAACAATAGCACTCCTTCCAACAGGAGGAAGATGGGTAAGGGAAAAGGAGCGTCTCCTCTAGCAAGAAGCGCTCCCCTCCTTGCTAGGAATGTCTTCTCCAACCGAAACCCCCGATACAGAGAGCTTTTAGGGAAACTTAGGTGAGGGCCAAAGGGATTCAGGAAGATGCCCTGGTGGACATCACTGCCCCGAGCTGGTTTTGGGGAGATTACCGCAGCTTCATTCCAGTCTGAGGAGGGTGGCTGGACCCTGGCACAACCCAGGGACAGAGGACTCTGCTTGAAATTCGTGTTTCATTAGCCCAGGGCCACAAACCACAGAAAGGCAAGTGAGACAAGCCTAGCACTGCCTCATTCATCTGCCACTCTTGTGAGAGGAGGACTGTCATTTGTCAAGTTTGACAACTGCAAAGTTCATCAGTTGCTGTTTTTTCCCAGTTTCGCATCCTTCACCCTTTTTTTTTTTAGCCCAGTAACGCTCCCTGTTTCAAAACCTTGTGTCTGGTGTTTGCGAATGGAGCAGCTTTGCTTATTAAGTGTTCCCAGGAGGACTAAATTGACTTCTCCCAGGTTTTGGGGTGTGAGCTGAAGATACTGATTTTTGCAGCAATAGTAAAAAAAATCCCCAAACCCAATCCTAAAAGCCCAAAGTGATCTAAGAACAGAGAAACCCATAAAACATGTCAGGTCACAATTCAACAGGAAACAAATAGGGCTAAAAATAAGAATCCATAAATTGCCTTGCAAAGGGCGCTCTAACTACTGATAAAAGGCTCTTTAAATATATCAAAGCCACAAAGACAGCTAGGAAATCAGTGGGAATGCTGGTGACAAGGGTATAAAAGGGGCAGACTGGGATGATGAAGACGTAGCAGAGAAGCTCAGTGATTTTTTTTGTGGTTGTTTTTACGAGCTTCCCACATCTGTCACACTCTGCAGCGGATCAGCTGGAGGAGCCAGAGCCATCGGATGTAAAAAGGTAACACAGAGTAAAGAGGTAGCAGGAGTAAA